TCGTAAAACATAAATATTTCCATTTAAAATAATTGTAATAAAATAATAATAATAATAAAATAAATTCAGAAAATTTTCTTACCAAACATGGTAATTCGTGTCATTCCAATACAATTTTTTCTCCACTTAAATACTATTTTTACATCTTAGTATCAAGTCACGTAACGGAGTTAAATGGAATGTTTACATTCTTAAAATTAGCAAGAGAAATTGAAGTTAATTTTTTTTTTTACTCGTTTCTTCGAATTAAAGTAATTTTTACTTGAAAGTTTGTAAACGTTAATATACATTTCTAATTCCAGAATAATTTACATATTCTGGAATGGCGTTAAGGGAATAATATATATCTACAAGTACTGAACGTTTAGACAGGTTCTATATGTGATATTTGAATAAGTGATGCTGTAAAATCTTATACAGTAAATAGTTCTTTAGTTATAAACAAATCACGTATCCGGAAATGAATTTCTTAGTTGAATATAGTCAAGAAAATAACGGAAATTAAAGTGAAATTTAGGAAGTTGTACATGGAAAAAAATTGATAGAATTTATATAAATAATGTTTATTTAAAGAGACGAATATTTAATACCAAATTTGCATATTTTTTGGTAAATTTATCTAGAAAATTTATATGTAATTGAATTAACTGTATATGTTAATACTTTATTCATAAATTTGAAATTTTATAATAACTCTTACATTAAAATTTTTGTAAAGGGGGTATTTAAATTATAAATTATTCGTTTTAAGTAAATAGAATATTGATTTTTCTTTAATTAAAATATTAAAATAAAAGACATTAACTGAGAATATGCGTTGACTTAATGAATTAAGGAATAATTTTATAAAATCTATAGTTTTTATNTGAAGATCACTTCTTTAGAAAAGTAATCTTCTTAGTTAAACAATTCTACAAATGCAAGTGCTAAATAAATACCAATCTTAACTCTTTTGACATAAAGTATTGACCTGTATGATTTTATTAATGCTTATATAACAAGTTCAAAACTTCAATTTTTTTAAATTATTTTCTTGCAAAATTTATTAAAATATATTGAGAAACCTATCTAGAACGGACAGCCTACTAAATCTCGGAACGGCTTGTATGTAAATTGTTGTAAACCTGTCTAATGCGAGCAAAGAGGAATGTTACAGTTTGGCATTACTTCATCATTAGAAAACCTGTCTAATGCGGAAATGTTCCTGCATAAATTAACTTGAGTAACAAGGAATTTATGGACACCGATTAGTATTATTTCATTGTTAAATTTATGCTTTCATTAGCTGGAAAGTACTACTCTCTCTAGAAAAAAAATAATAATAATAATAATAAAATACAAACCTCGATATAGCGCACCCCTGTATAGCGTCACCCTTGCATATCGCCATTCGATGCTCGTATTTAGTACTTTGCATTGACAAGGTTGTTATTAATATGTCTAATTACTTTAAATAATTTTTATGTTGTGAGATCCTTCGGTTTAGCGCCGAACTCGATTTATCGCCAATTTCGGGGTGGCGATATATCGAGGTATAACTGCATATTATAAACATTTACTTTAAATTTAAATCTTAATTTTTTTTTTACTGTTTATTTCGAACTTCGATTTATAAGTATTGAGTCAGATTATTCGATTTAGCGCCGGAGTGGCGCTATATCGGGGTTTTGTAAAGTATATTATAGAATTAGAAATGTAATTTTTTTTTAAAAAATGAATTATAATTTATAATATTTCTTTCTCCCTCGTCTAATTCGAACTTTAATTTTATAAATTATAAATTCGCTGGTAAGATTTATAACGCTTGTAAAACTTTCTTATCGAGTTTATTTTTAACTCTATTCATGAATAAAATTACTTTAAGTGTTATACACAGATATAATTTATTAGCTACGTCATTAAGTTTAGATAATCAACGTTCTTTGGCACCGTGTTAAAGGATACGCGAATCGATATCGATTATATAAATCGATTGTTTCCTATTGAAAAGATCATTTACTGATTAAAGATCAACAATTTTTTTTTTATTTTAAAACATTTTTTTGTTTGTTTTTATATAATATATTGTTATTATTTAACACGGAATTATTTATAAATCTTCTGGTGTATTAAACGGAAGAATTATTTGATGTATTATCGATCATAAAGTACTTAATAAGTTACTTGGAAATTATAAAGAAATGTGGAAATCCTTGTATTTTATTGATTATTTAGTACAGAATAGTAATAACTAATAAATTATACCGTGTAATGTTTATACATTGTACACTAATAAGAATGTAGGACGTGTGATGTACACAGAATGTATACAGTATTGTACGTAGAAAAAATAATTACAGTAAGAAGAGTGTATAGTTTAGAAAGAATTATACAGGAATTTATGAAGTGTAAGGAGTTTATACAGTAGTTTATGACGTATAATATAATTTAGAAACAATGTATATAGTGATAATGTAGAAAGAATGTATACAGTAGTGTTGAATATATAGCATAGAGAAAGTGTATACAGTAATATAGAATACTGTACAGTAACATAGAGAAAGTGTACATAGTAATATAGAAAATAGAAAAAGGGTACAGTAACATAGAGAAAGTGTATACAGTAATATAGAAAACAGAAAAAGGGTAAATAAAATATATAATAATTTACTACATTACTGTAAAAAAGAAACAATTTTTCTACTGTTTTACCTTTTGTAAATGTTTAAAACTGAATTTTATTGATTTTTTGGTATACGTTGTCGATCAGGATGTATAAATGGAATAGTAGATGTCTTCCCAATTCAATCCTTCTTCTCATTTATGCTCCATTAAGTGTGTGTCTTCACTCACGAGATGGAGAAGTTTATTATCTAACACAACCACAATCAGAAACTTTACTGGGAGTTTATTAATTAAAATCAATTTACGAATCAAAATCACATATTCACATCACAGTTTAAAAGTTTATCGGGAAAAGTTTATCAAGTTTTTTTTTTTTTTCTTTTTATTTTTACTTTCTTCGCCCCTTGAGCTTCGTGTTAAATAAGAAGAAAAATTCATTTAATTATAATTTTCTTCTAAAACTTATTTTCTTTTCTTAAATTTTTAACGCTCTCATTGAAGCATTTAATAATAAAACTTTAATTAACAAATTTAAAAAAAAAAAATTTAATCGATTATAAAAATTTTTTTTATTATTTTTAATAATAAATTATAATAAATTCGTTTTAAAAATAGTAAAAACTCCATAAAAAGATTGTTTTTTTATTTTTTTGCTGTAATTTTTACTGAAAATAAATTAAAATATAATATTTTCTGCACTGAAATTTTTAAATTTCATACCCATATTGTCGACTGTCTGTATGTCTGTCTGTCTGTCATTCGTTAATCTCGAGAAAGACGTTTTTGTTTTAAGAATGTCCGTTGTTTAGAGGTTCGTTTGTTTTCTACTGAATAATTTTATATAGAAACAAGCAAGATATACGTAACACGCTAGTCGATACGACAATGATTTCATATATAACTTACACCTGTTGTAATTTTACACGTTGCGTGTAATACTTGGCATATTTCTTTAAGTAAAAATACTCTTACGCGTGAATATTTTTAAAAGATTTTTAACTTATTCAAGTTTAGTAAGAGGGGGGGAAAGGGTAAATGTTACTAATAAAGATAAGAGCTCTTCACCTATTCATAAACATAAATTTATGTATTTATTATCAGTTCTTCTAGGTTAAAAATAAAATAAAAATAAACTAAAAATGTAGCAACTTCAGCAGAATTAATTTTTGTATATTATGAATACTTTTATTTAAATAAATTTAAACTTTTTACTATCTATTAACTCTTTTTATTTTGATAACTGTTATGTATAACACAGGAAAGTATGACGATTGGGAAAAAAATCAACCCTCACCCCAACATTTCTACATTTTTAGAATCAGAGGATCTTAAAACGTCCAGAAATTCAAGAAAAATTCGGCATTTTTCTCTATATGTATGCGTGGGGGCACGTTTTGTTCACTCAATTAAAAGCTTAATAACTCCTGTACTTTTTGTCCAAAATACGCAATATTTTGCGGGTAGGTTTATGAATTGGGAACATTTATACTGTTAAATTTTTGTGGTTAAAGGTCGAGGGGATGGGGAGATAGAAGAGATCATTAACGTATCTCGAGTGGGGTCATAATTAACGAAGACTTGTTACAATTTTTAATAAAACTCATCACTACCGTAAAAATTAAGCTTTTTGCCATTATATAATAATTAAAAATATAAAAAAGTTTTAAATAAAATTTTATAATAGATAGTGCTGAATGTAATTTTAACTTTTTAGCCTGGAAAGTTATGCAACTCGCTAGAATTTTTTTAAGAATTGAAGCTGGCATTTATATTATTTTTCTGATATTGTAATTTAAAAAAATTAGTAAAAATAAATATAATTTTTTTTAAAAAAGATAATAATATATTTTCTTTTTTCAACCGTGAAAAAATTTATGAAATATGAGCTGAAATAAATCCAGTATTTTGGACAAATTTCCTTCTCTGGACAGCTTAGATATATAGCTTGTTGGAGAATACGGTTGTTGAACTATACTTATTTATATATATATTTTTAAATCTGACGTATAAAATTTATTAAAATATACTAGAATTTTGTATAATAATTATAATAATTCTGATATCAATCATATATTTTATACTGTATTCATGTACAGGGTGATCAAAAAGACACTATGACGTTTTGATCATCTAGTATGTAGTCCCATATAAAAACTGAAGTAGTAAATCTATTTTTTAAATAAATTATTACTTATTAAAAATGGAAGTACAGATTAAATCTAAGGGGGAGAAAAACAGAATTTAATAACCCGTTTAAGTGCATAATTCATTAATTTTTTGGAATTTTTAAATTGACACAACTTAAAAAGAAAAAGTGTTGTACATCAGCACTTATTACAAACTTATTAAATTTTATTTTTAATTAATTCTAACCATTAATTTTTATCCAGATTAAAGTTGAGAAGTTCAAAGCATTAAAGATTGAAGAGAAAAGTAAAGAAACATGTGTTACAAGTTACCATAGCAACAAAATCTTGCAACATCATTTACTTCATCTACATCTTCTTTTTCAATTGTATGATTCAGTCGGTTTCGAAATTGATTTTAAGAGATTTAAACAAGTCAAATGGTATTGATTCTTATTTTTTTTTTAAATATATTTTTACATACTTTTTAAGTTAAATATTAAGTTTTATAATTTTAATTTTAAGACTATTTAAGTTAATCCCATTTTAAAAATTTTATACACTTAACAGGTTAAGTATATACAGTGGAAAGAATTATTAATTCTACTTCAATTTTTAAACGTATTTTACATTATACAGGTAAGACTTATTTAATATATATATGTGTGTTTGTGTGTGTGTGTGTGTGTATTAAATATTTATTTAGAGATATTTCTGTATTTTACCACGTTTAAATTATTTTTAGAGTTAAAAATAGAAATGTGAAAAAAATTCATTTATTAATTTTTAATGCTTAAGAAAGAATATTTACATCAGAAAATATATTTTTTAAATTATCTAAAAAGTGTACGAGTGTAGTTTTATATAATCACTTTAAAAGTAAATTTTAAATGCAATTAAATTCAATTTTTTCATAAGAGGAAATACTTTTTAATTCCTTCTCTCTACTTCACCCTCTTTCTTATTTTCATACTTTCTTCATTCTCTTCCTCATCTTTTTATTCACTTCATCCTCTCATCTCTTACTCTCTTCATCTTTTACCTCATCCTCTTTCTCACTTCTTCCTCATTTTCTTACTCCCTTCATTTTCTTCCTCAACCTCTTACTCTCTTCATTTTCTTCCTCACCCTCTTACTCTTTTCATTTTCTTCCTCATTCTCTTACTCTCTAGATCCTTGAGTGTGTTTAATCCCCTAATAATAATACTTTTTAATTACTGCAGGCGTCCCAAATAAACATAGAAAAGTTTGAAAATAATCACATTCGACATGAAAATCATAAAGTTAGGCAAAAAGTTTTATTAAATCAACTCAAGATGTACTGGAAGTGTAGAAGAAATGCTATTAACTTGCCATCTGATGTTGAAGGAGGTAAATTAATATAGTCTATATTTGAAGCTGACAATTCAGCATTTTCAACATTAAAAAATATATATATATATTTTTTTAAAATTAAAATTAAAACTAAAAGCATTTTAATGTTATATTAAATATTTTCCTTTAAAAATTTCAAATTGTTTTTTTAAATTTGTTTTTGAATTAACATATATATATATATATTTTTGTTTCTTAACTTTACTTTCTGCTGAAATATCTGTGATACAGCCGAACCTGTAAACAACGGACACTAACAGGAACGTAAATATTGCCCGTTGTTCAGAGGTTATTTTTATGCCTGTTTTCTCTAACGTTCCTGAGAAAGTGGCCGCCGTTTACAGGTGGTCGCTGTTAGGAGGTTGCCGTTATGAGAGGTTCTACTCTTTCATAAAACAAAGATAAATGGTTTTAAATAAAGATATAATTATTTATTTAAATTTTTTCTGAATTTCATTATCGCTTATGGCTGAACATTGGTAGGTCGTGGATTCGTGCGTGAGATTTCAGGGTTTTTTTATACCGAAACTCGCGTGTCAAATATCTAAATTAGGGCCAGATTTTTATAGAATATCTTACCGGGAGGCATTCAACATCAATCCAATTACTATAACTTATAAAATATATTAAAAAATTGTTCTTGAATTTAAATTTCGATTATCCGGCCTAAACGGGAAACAGTGATAGAAAAAAAAATCCAGATAATATCACTTGTATTTAGAAATATAGTCTAGCTCAAAAGTCAGTTAACCGTAATATAATTTTTCTATGTTGAAATGTTATTTATGCATAAAATAAATCACTCAACTGTCCAAGTTTCATCCCGTACAGGGTGGCCATTGGTGTTTCTTTGTATGCGTTCAGATTCGGAAATCTTCAGTGGTCTAATTTCATGTGATTTCTTCTTGTTGTGGTGGTACGTCAAACACACAATTTAAGTACCTCAATGCCCTTTTCCACCAGAATTTTTGAAAAAGGATCACACGTGCTATGGAGGTCGTAGTTTGTTGCACACCAAACTTGGATAGTTACACCTTCAATTGAGACATGTCCTGAATTTATAAGATAAGAAATACAGAAAATACACGCCTGTAAAACCCTACCATTCTTTTACGAACACTGCGCCTACTCGGTTAACTGATCTTTGGGTTGTACTGTATATATATCCTTAATAAAAGCCTTCATTTATTTTTAACCTGACGTCAAAGTCTTTATAGTAAACACGTGTTTTCATGGAAACAAGAGGAGTAGAACATTACCACTTGTTCTTTACGCAGTTCTAAACTAGAGGAATTGCCGATTTCCTATAGAAAGTCCCTCTGAGAGTTATTCCCTTGACAGATCTCTGTGTCGCGTTTCAGTACACAAACAAACAGAACAATATACATAACTTCTGTGTAAATTCAAAGAATTTTTAAATATATAATTTTCTTCCAAAGCATAAAACATATTGAGAAATATAAAACTTATTCGATATTTATGAGAGTTATGTTTTATTCAACAGCCTATGCTTTATAATTCTTTTCTTTTTTTCTTTCAATACTTTTTAAGCAGGTCTACTTTAGTTATTTTTAGTGACAGAACCTTACGTGACTTACCAGTAAATACAAAACAACAGTCGAATTGCCATTGTTAAACAATTGTAGAATTTAAAACTTACGTGTAAATTCTACAAAAATACAACATTAAAATTACAAGTTGAGAAATTTATAAAGTTATAAAGAATTTCTCTCAATAGGAGCTTTTGCTCCGTAATTGCTAGTGAAATGTACTCAATCAATGCTTTTGTAGTTTCTAAACTGTTGAAAGAGGAAAGCAATATGAGAAGATTTAAGTCACCGACTGGCCTACATTTTCAATTGCTCATGAGGATTGTATTCTTCTCCCATGCAACCTAGACAATCAATATTTGCAGCATTAAAGTAGTGTGGGATAAATGAAAAGCATCACAGTCTATAAATCCAAATACCACTACACTTTATCCTCGTTCGTTTATAATAAGAATTGGAGCAAACAATCAGAAATTCGCTCTACTCGTATTCGCTTTTCCTTTCGATAAATAAATAAATTGAAAATTCAAAAATAAAACAGGTTTACTTAAAATATAGATGGCTTCGTTAATAGGAATTAAGTGTCATTCAAGGGGGGACATAACACAATTAAATGAAATATTGACTACACAGATAGACGTAGACGTAGGAAACTATGTTTAAAAGATAATTCAAATTATACATTCATACATATTAAAAAATTCAGTAACGATTTGCGTATATTTTCCAGCAAAAAAGTTAAAATTTTGTGGCGCCATCTGTTATGAGATTTTATTTTAATAATTTAAAATATTAAATATCAAAAATAATTGTTTGTGGAATTTTTTTTTTAATATAACGCTTGTTTATTTTTTTCTCTAAAAAGAATAACCCATTATAGAAAGAAAATAATTAAAGAATTAGATAATTAATTGCTTCAAGTTTTCTATTTTATTTCATTTTTAAAATATACTATATTAATTTCGAATAAAATATAGTAATCTACTTTTATTTAACTTAAAATAATAAGTTTAAAAACTTTATTTAGTTGGGTATATTTTCTACCATTATGCAAAGTTTTTTAATTTTTCTGTTTTCATTTTCCAATTTGTCTCATTTACCCCAATTTCCTCAAATCTCTAATTTTTTCGTTTACTCTCTCTATCTTACCAATCTCAAGTTTTCTTACCATTGGGGTAAGTAATAAATCACGAGATTTTCTTACTTACTCCAATTTATCCATTCCACAAGTTTTTTCTATTTATCCCAATTTTGCATGGTTTACCCATTTATCACATTTTTTTACTTCTACAATTTTCTCTAGTTTTTTCTAGTCTTTCCATTTATCCCAATTCTCCCTAGGTATCCCATTTATCCCAATTCTCCCTAGGTATCCCATTTATCATAATTTTCCCTAGTTATCCCATTTATCTCAATTTTCCCTAGTTATCCCATTTATCTCAATTTTCCCTAGTTATCCCATTTATCCCAATTCTTCCTAGTTATTCCATTTATTCCAATTCTCCCTAGTTATCCCATTTATTCCAATTCTCTCTAGTTATCCCATTTATTCCAATACTCTCTAATTATTCCATTTATCCCAATTCTCCTTAGTTATCCCATTTATCCCAATTCTCCCTAGTTATCTTATTTATTCCAATACTCTGTAATTATTCCATTTATCCCAATTTTCCCTAGTTATCCCATTTATCCCAATTCTCCCTAGTTATCCCATTTACCCAATTTTTCATATACTTCCCATTTTCCCGATTGCCTTCAATCTTTTCATTTACCCAAATTTTTCATTCTCTCGATTTTCCCTATTCTGTTAACCTCGATTTCTCAGGTTCTCTCATTTACTCCAATTTTCCAATTCTCTAAATTTTTCTACTTATCCCAATCTTCCATTTCCTAATTTTCCTAGGTTTTGCCATTTGTCCAATTTTTCCACTTTCCAAATATTTTCCAAGGTTTCTTTATTTATTTTCCCATTTTTTCCCAGTTTACATTCAAACGTATTTGCTACATTTTTCTACTAAAATATTCAAAATAATTCGTTTCAATTTTGTTTTGAATTATTTAATAGAAACTTTGTAATATTTTATTTCCACTTAGAAATGATGCTATATTTAAATTTTGATTACATACTACCGTTATAGATGATGCATTTTGCCCTTCAACGTTTGACGGATGGGTATGCTGGAATACAACAAGAGCACGTGTTCAAGCAACCGTCCAATGTCCATCAACAGATGATGATGATGATGATGATGATGATGATGATACACGTCAGTCAAGCATGAATAATCAATCATAAAGAGATATTTAATTAATTTTAAAAAGTACTAAGAGGCATTTTATCTACAGGTATAGCATTGAAGAATTGCTTACCAAATGGTAAATGGGAGAAAAATCAAAATGGAGAGGATGCTACTAATTATGAAGCTTGCAATATAAAGCACCTGGTCAGTTATAAATTTGGTAATCTAAATTATTTAGAATATTTGTTATATATATATATATAATAATAATAATAATCTTGATTTTATCAATAAAAAATTAATCAGGGTGTTACATAACTTAATTTATTAATATTTATTTAATATAAGAAGACTTCAGTTCTGGTTTATGTTTAGTTTGATCTGATAAAGTAAACTCCTTGTTATCTTTTTCCTCCTCCTCTCAGAAGCATAGATTTTTGTTTAGATTGTAGTAGACAAAATTATTATAAGAGTAATCTATATATACTATTATTATGATTAATCTTATAAACCATAAGTCATGATACTAAAGTATTGTTTGCTAGATAAATATTAGTATTACAGTACGATTGTTCTAACAAATGTGCCATTATAGTTAATGGGATCTTACAGAATATAAGTAAATATTTGCGTTAAAGTACATAATGTTTTTATTTATATTACTTAACGTTCTTAAATAAATATTCTTTGCTTACTTACCTATTTTCTACATTTATTTTCATTAAAAATATATATAAATAATAAAAATTGCTATCTTATAAATATTATATAAGCATCTTTTATTATTTTATAAGATATTAAATAATAAAGATTTAATAAAATTAAATATATTAATGATTTAACAACAATTCACTGACAGTCGATCGCGATNAATTCACTGATAGTCGATCGCGATCTACAGTTTGGTTGAAGAAGCTAAAATTACAAACATTTATTCAGGAAACAAATTAGTTTAGTCGTATAAAATTATACATATTATATTAATATTTACTTTTTAATTTATAATATTTCTGTTTAATTTATTTATTTTCATAAATTTCAACGAATATTTAAGTAAGAATACATTTTAACTTTTCAACATTAAATGAAATATTAATAATGGAAAAAAATAAATATGTCTTTCAATTGGAAATTAAACAAAGTGGTATAAATAAATAAAATTGTGTGAAAAATGTTAGAAATTAATTGTTTTTCCGTTAATAGTCGTTAATTTTTTATTAGAGTAGAGAATTTCATTGGGGTTGGAAAAAATAGAGGATACACCCTATTCATTCCATGAAACAATACAACATTCAAAATATACCAGTACAGTGTTGTTTATAAACGAAAGATTTAACTTATGTAAATGTTTGGTTAATATAATATTAACCAAAACAATAAAAATAAAATAAAATTTAATAGCATACAGATTAAAAATTAATCTAACGAAATTTTATCAACATTTACATTATATAATTAATTGATATATTTTAATATAATTTACTCAAATGTTAAATTCCCAAACTCATGTCAACAAATCGTTTTATTTTATTTTATTTTTTTGCGGAAAATAATCGACATTTTTGTAATATTTTCTCTAATCAGATGGCGCCACACGTGCGACAAAAATGTCGGTTTCGTGGCGCCACCTGGAATTTATTTCAAATAAGCAACGGATATTCACTATCGACATGAGATACTTAGTCAACTTAGCAGTAAACTGAGGCCTTAACAGCCTCAGTTAAACTCAGTTAAACCTTAACAGCCTCAGTTAAGGCCTCAGTTTATTACTGCTGTGGGAGGCGTGGTTTTGAATCCTAGCTAGCTACTCCTGGAATTTTTCACACGTGATCAGTCCCGGATATCTTGGGCCCTGTCTCTCACCACCGACTTTCCCCATTGCGGGCCTGACCAACCCACGATGGGTATGGAAATAAGGCCCTCTTACTGCCCACTTAATGAGTAATAAATAAATTTTTATTTATTTATTTTTCTTGCATATCCAAGGTGGGTTGGGCCATATCCACAATAAGAATGGTCGGATAGAAAAACTATATATTTATGCAAATATTTAATTATATTACTACTAAATTCATTAACAAATATTAATTAATTTTTGGAATTTTTATGTGAATTAAATAAAGTTTAATGAAAATAATAATTATTTTTAGAGCCCAGAAACTAAGAGACGATTATATGAATTAATTACAAATTTTGCAAGTTTAGATGAATCTCCTTACGATGATCCAAAGATTCTAAATGTGTATGAAAAATGTGTTGAAAATTTAGTTACCAGAACATCAACTATACCTGGTAAAATTGATAAATTATGTATTTTTTATACGGTTTCCTTTTTACTGTTACGGGCATTTAAATGTATGTATTTTCTATACAGGTACTTACTGTCCAGGTACGTTCGATGGGTGGAGTTGCTGGAATGATACCCCTGCTGGTGAAGTAACTTACGCTGTTTGTCCTAAATTTATACCTGGTTTCTTGCCAGATAGTAAGTTACATTTTATAAAAGTTTATATACACTAAAACCTGCGTAAGCCGGAATCGTACGGTGCCGAATGTTGTTTCAGTTTGGCGATTTTCTGTTTATTTTTTTAAACATAAAAAATCGCTACGTTCCGATGGACTTTTCTAGGAAGGTTTCCGCTTTATCCAGGTTTTGTTTTGAACAGGTTTTGCTGTATCTTATTCCTATTGGATATACTGTGTGGCCTTAAAGTCAGTTAATCATGGTAAAGAAAAAAAATCGCTATCTTATCCAAATATCGAAGTTTGATTATAATAAAATGGTTTAAAGAATGTTCTGATTGACGTTACACGAGAGTAGCGCTATTTAGAAAGGCGTTGTGTCGTACTTACTAATTGTTCAAATTGCGCTTGTTCTTGTTTAATTAATACACGAAAAAGTTCATAATTAATTTACGAAATTCAGCAATATTTTGAATTATTTTCGAAGATATTTTGTGTTATATTTCAGGCTGAGTATTTTGTACCATTGAATGAATAAGTAAGGTAGCAGTTAGTGCCATTANAGGTATGTAACGTTGATGGAACGTGGTTTAGGCATCCGGAAACGAACAAAACATGGTCAAATTACACAACATGCATCGACCATGAAGATTTAATGGTAAAATATTAAATTATAAAACTAAATTTAATCTTAATTAATTAACTAATTAATTATTTTTTATACAGTTTCGCCAGAAAATAAACAACTTATACATCGCTGGATATTCCATCTCGTTGATAGCTCTTATCATATCTCTGGCTGTTTTTTTCTATTTTAGGTAATGTTTAAAATTTTTTTAAAATTATAATTAAATAATTAAGTTAATTAATTTCCGTTTAAATATAATTACAGGTCATTGCAGTGCATTAGAATTACAATTCACAAGAATTTATTCTTCTCATTTATCATGAATAATATCATGTGGATAATTTGGTATACAGAAGTAGTACAACACGTTGATATAGTCGTAGGAAACAGCGTAAGTATTAATTATACAGTTTTACTTTACAATTTTATACATGTTTTTTTTATTCCTTCTTCTTCTTTACAGCCAGGTTGTCAGATATTGCATTTGTTAGTCCATTATTTTCTTCTTTGCAATTATTTCTGGATGTTTTGTGAGGGTTTACATTTGCATACATTAATGATCTTCACGTTTGTGGAAGAGAAGAAGATGCTGAAAATCTTTTTCCTCATAGGATGGGGTAAATACTAATTATTCAAATTTGAGCTTCCATTTTTTTTTTCCAAATTTTCCTCACCTTTACCTTAAATTCAACGTCACAGTTCTACCCCTATTGCTGATAACGATATACGGCTGTGTAAGAATGTCCATACCGAAATTAACAGTTTAGTAAGTATCTTTTAAACATAATAGATTAATTATACTACAAAATTAAATTTAATTAGCATAAAAATTAATTAATTTTAATTATTTAAAGTTGCTGGATAGAGGAGACTAATTTACAATGGATTATTTCTGGTCCTGTATGTTTATCCATGATGGTGAGATTATGTTAATAAAATTAATAATAAATACGGCATAAAACTGTAAATAATTAAGTTGATTTTTTTTAAATTAAAAATTTTATAGTTAAATGTCATATTTTTGATAAATATCGTTCGTGTTTTAATAACGAAATTACGTGCTATTAATTCGCCAGAAACACACCAGACAAAGTAAGTGATGTTGTGTGTTTATTTATTTATAAATAAATTACTTTTTTTTCCTGTAAATTAAAATGGAATTTTGAGTGTTTATTTTATAGAAAAGCAGTTCGAGCTACTTTAATTTTGCTTCCACTCCTGGGACTTCATTATCTTGTAACACCATTCAGACCTCAACCAGGTACCTCTGGTGAAGCTGTATATGAAATTGTAGCTGCCATTGTAACTTCTTTTCAGGTATTTTTAATTGAAAATTTTTATTTTATAAAACANCTGTGAAGGAAGAGGAAGATAAAAGTAATTGTTTGGTACTGCCATCTGGGGATAGGAAAGCATACTAGATTTAATATACAGGAATTTAAATATCCACTCTATATGCTAAAATACGTCTCCCTAAAAGTAAAATAACTTTAAAAAAATTATGGATATGAAGTAAATCGGCCATAAAATGATTATTTTGATAAATATTCAGGTAAATATTATTTTATAAATCATATAATCAATGCAAGTCCCAAGAGAAAGGAAGATATTTGAATTGGATATGAATCCACGACATTTATTAATAATTAATTTATAGAAGGGTGATATGTGAGGGAAGGAATACGAGGTCTTGATGCCTTAATATTTATTTTTAGAGGGATTTTTAATTGTCTAAAAAATATTCTTGCTTATTCTTCTGTTGTGCATGTGGATTTAATTTGTAGAAACAGTTAAAATATTAATTTTATATCGCAAACACACGTGCTCAAGTATAAAAGTTGTAAGTGTTAACAACAATGGCGAATTGTCCACCTGAATAACGTTGTAGGCAGGTGTTTGACACAATTCATTATTAAGCTTAAACACGTGAGGAGGAAAAAAAAAAAGATGCCTCTTGCTAAGTTGCTATTCATCTTTCACTTAACCCAATGTTAATCCATAAATTGTCTAATCAAGCATATAATCCGCTTTACCCTATGCTCTATTGGGCAGTGTTCCAAAAAATCCCTTCATCAATGCTGAGGTCACAAGTTTCGTATTATGTTAATTTATATAGGCCTATCAATACATCTGGATACTTCCCATATATATTTTGAATTAATTTTTATTTAAAAAAAAACTCTTGTGTCAGCTTGTTAATAAAATAAATAAATAAATAAGATATAAGTCACACGCGTGTTGCTATTTGCTTCCATTTAATTAAAATACGGTTAATAGAAACTTAATTATTAATTCCATGTTTAATTATAATTCTTTAAATGTGTTTTTCTGTAAGAAATAACTGAAATATTACTTAATTTTATTCATTAAATTAGATTTATTAATTGTTAAATAGGGGGGTTTAAAATTAAGATTATAAAACTCCTGTAAGGATGCTTCGATAATAATTTTAATTATATATTTTTTTAATGTAAAATATACTAAAAAGTTAAAAAAATAAAATAAAATTTTATATACAAACACAGGTTTTTTTTTCGTCAGAAATTCACTCAGTTGACAGACTCTTTTTCTTTTTTTTTTTATTAATGTCACAGATTGACAATAACCTTTGAACCTTATTCGGGTTATTATTTCTCACTTTGTAAGAAAGTCAACTTAGAAGTACGAAGTAGAAAAAATAAATAGAAAAAAAATATATTGAACAGATTGTAAATTGTATTTCCCCCTCCCTCTCCCCGCTTTACGTGTTCAAGAACATAATTAAGTATATTATGTTTTAATTAATATATTTGTAATGATGCAAATGTCATTTATAATATAACCACTCTTTCTGCATAAAAGAATTGAATAAAAGATGCTCAGAATATCACATTTTTTAATCTTCTAACTTTATTTCTTTTATATATATATATATGTATATATGCTGACATTACAATATTATTGTTAATCTTCTAACTTTATTTCTTTTATATATATATATATATGTATATATGCTGACATTACAATATTAACAATAATATATTCCATTATAATTTATGTAATACTTAAAATTAAACACGAATATTTATACATATGCGTACACATTTATGTTGGCACATCTCTTGGATTTATACAGTAACTCTACATGTAGAAGATAAAGGAAAGAAAATCCACGAAAGGATACAAAGACAACACAAAGAAAAAAAAAGGTAGGTATGCTTTCTTTGTAAAGTCAAACATACCTTAATGAAGGTATTCCGATTGACAGCACCACCTGACATCGCACGTGCATGTGGAGCACATTCCAGTACCACGAACAACATCAGTCATAAAAGCGATGTACATGATAGCAAGACGAAGTGTGTCGATCCTGGAAAGTCTCTTCTCGTAAGTAAAAGTGGGGACCAATTTCCTCAATTTATCAAATGCTGCATTTAGATTATACATTCTTCTACGTTCTCTAACATTAGCTGCCCTCCTCTGTGCCATAGTCACAACCCTCTTTCGATTCATTCTAGAAGGATACTGTACGTCTTTAACTCCCATAACGCTGGTACCGTTGTGGTAGTGTAAGCTCCCTTCTATATACGTTGCTGGTAGGTAGTAGTCTTGGTGGTTGGTAGCATCGAATAACTCTGGACGTATACAAGGTACCACCTGATATCTAGAGAACTCCATGTGAGCCTGAAAAATTGTTCGATAGGTGGCAGTTGGAGTAATTAGGGAATCGCTCCAGGTACGAATTATCGTCGTCCGTTCACGTCACGTGATCGCTGGAGCGAGTTGTACGCGCCACGTGCTGGCTTTCCATGCCCGAACGTTTATTAGAAGGCACAACGTACTGGCATAGTTCCAAATTTCATGCTACGTTAGACAGCCAGCCAGAATCGGCCAATAGGATCGTCGACAGGTGCGTCCACGTGCTCCAAACCGTTATATCTTGGATAGCAGGAAACTGTCAGTCATCGAATCAGACGGGGTTGTTTTTCCGGGTGTGCGGTTACGGCAAGCTGTCGCTATGTAAATGTAGCGAGTCGAGTCTGGACTAGAACTCGAGCTAAGCAATTAATCACTTCAGGTGCGTGAAGAATTGGAAAGTAAAGGAAGAGGGAGAGAAAAAAACAAACTTGGTGGTGTTACTGATATTTAATTTTCTGGCAATTTTTTTTCTTCTTTTTTTTATATACGTCCAAAAATTTAATTTTTTATATCATTTAATTCCTCCGATATATCTAATAAGAAGCGTTCTTAATTTTATAAAATTCTATTAATATTTGAAAAGTTTCAATATATAAAAATNTCTTTAAATTCTTTCTATTATTTTATATTTACTCTAAAACTTTTCATTTTTTTTTTCTATATTTATATTAATTTGTTTATTTTCACTAAGCATCTTCAACCTTTTATGTGAAGGAGTGTAAAAGAATTTCTGTTTGAAACTGGCAAACTTTGTATCCTATCTCATTCTACTTGAACTTTTACAAAAATAATTTTTTTTTGTTTAATAAATGGAATGTTTTCAAGTGTTTCTTGTTTAGTTCACAAAAATATCACATTAAACTAGAAGACATTAGCATTTTGTGTATGTGTGTGCGTGTGTGTGTGTGCGTGTTTTCCCCCTCGAAACTGTTATTTCCTTCCAGCTTGGAAGGAATCAATCACGGAAAACCTATAAGCGCCTGGGAATTGGGCTTCACTGCTGACTACCAAGTTCTGCGGATAAGCCAACATTACAGGTTGACGGTTGCTGCTTTAGTAATGGAGAAATATATCGGAAAAGATTGTACACTTGAGAAAATTATTTGAAACAAAAAAAAATTATATTAAATTTTAATTTTANCAAACTTACAGGAGCTTTGTAGTCCTGCAAACTTACAGGAGCTTTGTAGCCTTCCAAACTTACAGGAGCTTTATAGTCCTGCAAACTTACAGGAGCTTTGTAGTCCTGCAAACTTACAGGAGCTTTGTAGCCTTCCAAACTTACAGGAGCTTTATAGTCCTGCAAACTTACAGGAGCTTTGTAGTCCTGCAAACTTACAGGAGCTTTGTAGCCTTCCAAACTTACAGGAGCTTTATAGTCCTGCAAACTTACAGGAGCTTTGTAGTCCTGCAAACTTACAGGAGCTTTGTAGCCTTCCAAACTTACAGGAGCTTTATAGTCCTGCAAACTTACAGGAGCTTTGTAGTCCTGCAAACTTACAGGAGCTTTGTAGCCTTCCAAACTTACAGGAGCTTTATTGTCCTGCGAACTTATAGGAGCTTTATAGCCTTGCAAACTTACAGGAACTTGATACTCCTACAAACCTACAGCAAAAACTTTATAGTCCTGAAAACTTACAAGACTATATTTAGCTTTTAAAATGATAATAATATCCTTATAATACTTTAGCAGCATCAATGACCTAACAGATACAACGTGGTCGGATTTAACAAGGTTAATAATAGCATCAGATTTGTTATACAGAATTGAATGAGAGACATCCCTAATAGTTCATCAGCCAGGATATTTGTTATTAGTTGTAATTAATAAATAAAATTCTACAAGATAGTCTAACCTATAATATATATATATATAGTGATAGGACTTGTCTTCATTAATGCCCTTTTTTTTAATATAAATTTAGAAAACTGCACGTGCTCAGCCCGTCTTGGCCAGGCTCGAACCCACGACCGAATTTCTAGTGTTCAGGGAACGGAATCGCTTGGGCACTGGTGGGCCCCCACGACCAGCTACCAGTGTTTAGTGGTTTACTTCTGTGACGTGGCATATTGATGCCATATCACAGAGAAGGATTAAAAATCCTTTTCGTTGCTAAAATTGTTAGCAAACGTCTTAATTTGCANACACTCTTTTTTTTATATTAAATATATTAAAAGTGGATTATAATGTTGACATATTAATAATTTTTGTAGAAATTAATATAAAGGTATAAAATACTTACAGACAAAGTTGTAGCCGCATACGATACTCTCATATCCTTTCCACGGTTAAGTCTTGACCTCATCCACTTTTTCTTCCATAGTGCAACTACCTAGAGTTAAATATAGATTTATCCAGAGCAGCAGCACCTGCAGCTTTCACTTATCTTAATTTTCACGTTTAACTTTAATAAATTTGCTTACAGTAAGTAAGTGAACAGTTAGATAAATGTATTTAACAAATTAATAAGATAAGGAATATGTATAATATATATTTAAATATTTAAAAAAAAATTTACCTCACCGTTGAAAAAGCAGAATATTAATGCAACACAAAAACCCTAGAAAATTGTAATTTTTATAGATTAATAAATTATTAAATAATAAAATCAATTTTAAATGATATTGCAGAGATGAGGAATATTTTCATCCTATTTTAAAGGGATCGTAAGAAGCTGCGTGTTATACTGTAAGCTGTATAAGTGTATGCATTCAGAAAATTGTGTTTTTTTTATTAAAAATTGGGGAGAAAATATAATAGAAATTTATATTATTTTACATTTTAACAAGATACACTAGCAGCTACATAGGATCACAAGAGGCAAGGATGCTGCTGTTTCCCAATCTCTGAAATAATTTTTTATGGTAATTTTAAAATTGTTATTAAAAATTTTAACGATTTTAATGCTAAATTCTGTAATTTGCATGTTTTATATTATAATAAAAATTAATACATTAAAAAATATATATTAAATTTTAAACGATAATAAAGATGGGGAATACTTTCATCCTATTTCAAAGGGATCTTAAGAAGTTGCGTGTTATACTATAAACTGTACAAGTATACACATTCACACATTAAAAAAAAGAGCAAAAAATATACTTTTTTTAACTCAAAATTTATATTATTTTATATTATAACACGCAATACTAGGAGATACACAGGATCACAAGATGCAAGGATGCTGCTTATTCCAATCTCTGGAATAATTTTTTATGGTAATTTAATAATTACCATTAAAGAATAATTCCGATTTTAATGCTAAATACTGTATTTTTCATGTTTTATATTTATAAAAATAAACATGTTTTATTGACGATTTTATTTTCTGTTGACAAGTAATTGCATCTGTTGTTCGTATCCTTCTCAGTAATTATTGAGTAATTGTACACTGTATACGTGTACTTGGCTTCATCTAGTGTTTGTTACCTTCCCATTATATCAAGAATGTTTACAGTTTTGCATATTCCATTTAACTGAATGGAAATAAGCCATTTACATCATATTGATTCGGAAAGTTAAGTACGTAGAAGAAGTTAATAGCGTAAGTAAATACCAAGCTACTTTAAAATGTTTATTTTAAAATCTTAACAGGTTTTACTTAGTAAAAATTAATTTTTCATAATATAAACAGTGTATATGACGTAATTTTTATAAGCATATTGACCTACAGGAAGCTGTGAAGGAAGAGGAAGATGAAAGTAATTGTTTGGTACTGCCATCTGGGGATAGGAAAGCATACTAGATTTAATATACAGGAATTTAAATATCCACTCTATATGCTAAAATACGTCTCCCTAAAAGTAAAATAACTTTAAAAAAATTATGGATATGAAGTAAATCGGCCATAAAATGATTATTTTGATAAATATTCAGGTAAATATTATTTTATAAATCATATAATCAATGCAAGTCCCAAGAGAAAGGAAGATATTTGAATTGGATATGAATCCACGACATTTATTAATAATTAATTTATAGAAGGGTGATATGTGAGGGAAGGAATACGAGGTCTTGATGCCTTAATATTTATTTTTAGAGGGATTTTTAATTGTCTAAAAAATATTCTTGCTTATTCTTCTGTTGTGCATGCTGATAGGATGCCTGGGACTAAGTATGTATTGTTTTGCTTTAGAAAATTAATATAAATATATGTTATTTCTCAACCGCTCGTTTAAAATTACGAATTAATTTAGATAACTCTTATACAATTTTCAATTGAATTGCTGTTCTCTTTAGGTTTCACGCATTGTAAACACCTCGTGGGAATGTTTATCACATACCATTATAAGTTAAATATAACCTTCACCTCTCTTCTTATCATCACTTTTGCTTATTATCAGAAAGTAAATGCTTATTCTTCACAGAAACAATGAAAATAAATGATTAAACTTTTTAAGTTTTAACTGTTGTTTAATGTAGAATATTATATATTATACTTCAGTGTAAATCTCAGTAACATTAACTAGCATTTTATAATAGAATAACTGCTCTTTTATGCATTAGTACAGTAAAAATTGACCAAATTTGACAAAATCGACAAAAAGATGCAAGTTTCTTGCCCCTGTAAATCATACTTTCCATGATAACAATCGAATAATGCCAGTCATCTATCTAATATTGTTTTCGAGATTAACGAAAGACAGACAAGCAGACAGACCCAAAAAGAATTAATTCGTAAAACTAAAAGGACAAGCATAGCATAGTAATAAATTACTCAATAAATACCTGAAATGATGTTACTATAGTAGCAATAATCTCATAAACTACTTCTCCTCTTGTTCCTGGATCCGGACGGAAAGGTGTTACCAAATAATGCAAACCCAACAGTGGTAAGAGGATCAAAGTAGCTCGAACTGCTTTCCTATCGTAATTAAGTTATTATTATCCCTAAGTAATATTGTTTAAGTAAATCCTTGTATACATACTTAGTTTGATGCGTCTCTGGAGAATTTGCAGCTCTTAATTTTGTCACTAGAACACGTACAATGTTAACCAAAAAGATGACGTTCAACTGTAAAATATAATTAAATTTTTAAGTGTTTTCGTTACTTATTTAGATGTAAATAAAGAACTTCATTTATAAAGTATTAAATAGTTAAATTATCAATAACAAAAAAACAATTTTATTTATACACTTACAGTAAAAGGAAAGTAATATAATTAAGCTTTATTTTATCCACATTATAAATTCTAATGATTAAGATTTATACTGTTTTATGTAACTAATATTGGGGTAGGAAATTATTATATGCTTACTTCATTTATTATAAAAATCTCCTAAGTTACCAGGAGGATAAGTCGTGATGTAATTTAACAAGTAAGAAGTTTCTGCTTCCACAAGTTTAATTTAATTAACTTAAATATATTACTTTCTTTCTTAATTCTTATCAAATTGGTTTAAATATGTTTTAGTTATGCATCTAATTAATAAATAATAATAGTAATTTTAATTTAAATGCGATTTAAGATCAAAAGTTTATACACGTTTTACATTCGTTATCTTAAGTTATTTGCTCTGGTAGTTTAGGCAGAGTCAAATGAAGCCTTTCCTTGGGGCCTCGACTTTTTAAGGGTCTCTTAATTAAAACACTAGTCCTAAGAATACTTTAAAATCTGGCAAATGATTTTAGAGTTCCCATTATACGTGTGAGTCCCCTTTTTCATATTTGCTTTTCCTTCTTCATTTACCAGTGTAGGTAGTATAGGACTCACTGTACTGGTAGTTGGCACTTTTGGCATGGCCAACAATAAAGTTTTTCCGGGTTTCCTCCACAATGGAGACCAGCTTTTCCGAGAAGGAAAACTTTGGCAAAGACCGATAAGTTGTAGCCAGTGACCTCAATCAAAAGTAATTATTCTAAATTTCTGGGGTCAGTCAGTTGTCAGTCAGTCGTCTTTCCACTACTGCACGAGTTCTGTAGCTCTGGGCACATCAGAACAAATATTAGCTACAATGCCCTACCATAGGGGATGTGTAGCTCTTAGTGCTCCCAGAGCGGAAAGAGGTTTATGGGTCCTTCATATCTGTACTCCACCAAAAGAAAGAATAGATTCATGCTATCATCTATACAAATCCGAAACTCCTGCCCTTAAGGAAGCTTATAAGGGAACTCTTGCCCTTAAGCTTTTCATATCTGGTCTCGATTTTCACCAATCTAACACTGTTCTCCGGATTAAGAAAGGGCAAACAGTGGAAATTTAAAGGTCTACATTTCTTTAAAATTGCAGCCTAATATAGAAACTTCATAATAATAAATAATTCGGTAACAATGAGTTTATTGGATACTTACCAGCATTGATATACACACCGGTACTGTTATTATATAGAATGTCGGACTTTCTTCTATCCAGCAACTTTTTTAATACATAAAAAATAAATCAGTAATTATTATTATTATTATTATAAAAACATATATAAGTATAAAATGTTCATAATTCGAAATAAAATAGTAATAAATAACTTGTTATATACATTAATAGTAAATAAAAGTGTCTACAGATGGCGCTAGATTGCACACTACCTATTGTATTGTTTCTATTGAAGGGATGTGTGCGGGTTATATGCTGATTTTACCACAAAATATGATAATATTACTTACTAAACTGCTTCCTTAGATATAGATGCTCTGACCGAGCTGTATATAGTAATTAATATCAGCGGTAAAACTATAAAAAACAAATAATTATTTACAGTTAAAATCAACACTCACGTGTTAGAATCAATAACATGATACATTAATACTACTGATTCTGAGTCGGATAATGAATACAGATAACGACTTACCCCATCCAATAACACAGAACCATTTGAATATTTTATTTTCTTGTACAAAAGCGAAGACCATCAATGTATGCAAATGTAATCCCTCGCAGAACATCCAGAAATAGTTGCACACAAGAAAATAATGCACAACTATATGCAAAATTTGGCATCCTATCTGCAAGTTTGGTTTATTTATTCTTTTACTATATAAAATATTTGTATAAAAATTTAAAATTTTTAATGAAATCTTTACATTATTTGCTTCCAAAACTTCTACGTGTTGAACCACTTCGGTATACCATATGATCCATGTCATGTTGTTCATGATAAATGAGAAAAACAGATTCTTGTGAATGGTAATACGAATGCACTGAAGTGAACTAAAACCAATATTATTATCTATGTCAGTTGTTTAGATTAATTTCTTACTTTTTATAAATAGTTAATATTTATACTCACGGAAAATAAAAGAAAATTGCAAGCGATATCAACAGAGCAACGAGTGATACTGAGTATCCAGCAATATATAATTTATTAATCTTCTGTCTAAACTATAAAATTAAGTGAGATATAAATAATAAATTAAATATAATCTTAATTTCATTATTGTATGTATTAATAAAAGTACAGGATGTCCATCATATTTATTATATAAAAATTTTACGTAGGCTATCAGATACATTTACTTGTTATGTTTGTAGTTAGACCCCTCTATACTTTCGTTAAGGTTCTCAACCTTTTTTCACTCGTGTACCATCTGAGTCTTCTTGTATAGATTTGTAATACTAACGGGTATCCTTGTGGTACGTGTACCACTGGTTGAGAACCGAGCAATACCAACATTCTATACTTGTAAACACAATCGATTGATTAGTTAGTGTTTCAGGTGCAACAAACACGAATTAAATATCACATAATTGTATTTATGGGATAATACAATGCAACACAAGAGCGATATGCTAAGAGGGGGTGTGCTACCTTCAAAGAGGTCTTCCGTGAGAAATTAGACCCTAATTTAGGTTTATACATGTAAATAAAATCCTAAAAACCACGCAGTCGAGCTCGAACCAACGACTAACTAGTGTTTTATCTACTATACTAGAGAAGACTTCGTGGATATCCTGTATTTTTACACAAATAAAGAGATCATAATTGCAATTATTAATTTGAATTTTTATATTTAATCCTAAATGCTTCTCAATATAAAAATTCAAATTCCTGATATTAATCAATTTAATAAATTACAGAATTTAAACAATTCCACTCATTCTTCTACTCAACACAATGTGATATATATTGACACGAATACTTGTTTCAATATAACATATTGACATAATTCATTGATATCAAAGACATTAATAAATATTTCAGATTCTTGCTTCATGGAAGATTTCTTTAACTCCACTTACTCACTTTTCAGATAGCCATTTCTGCTGAAATTCTCTTTATTGAACAATTAAAAATAATTACATCACTATATATATATATTTCCTATATCTTCCTCTTCACATCCTTCAATAACTCAAATCATTTTCCAGTTTTATCGATTCAATTATCCTGAAGTTAAATTAAATGATAAATTTCAAAAGTCATCAGATATTGCTCGATTAATCCACTTTATGATCTTGAACAATTTAAACGTCAATATAATCCTTTTGACAGTTGTAAGTCGTAATTTTGTACTAAATATAGAAATCAAAATTGCGAACTTATTAAGTAGAAACTTTACTTTTATATATATATATATATATAATAATGTGATTTGTAA